GTTACTGCTAACGACCGAAAAGTGGTTAGCAAGATTAGTTGCTTTTTGGGCGGGGTTGGTTGAGTTGTCAATGTTAGGGGTTTTTTTATGTCGTTTTAAGCCTCTGATGGTGTGGATTTTGCGCCAGACCATTCTGGCATCTGTACGGTTATTTATACCTTCGCAGAATTTTTTCCAGTCTCTACTTTTGGCTATTTGGACTAGTTTTTGAACCTGGTGGTTTAGTTCGTGGGCTATGTTTAAATATTTGTAGTCGCATTTTGCTTTATTGAAGGCTGATTTACGTTTTCGTCTAGTCTGTTCTATTTCCTCATTCCACCATGGTACCGTCGGTTTGCCTGTCTTAGATGTTTTGAAGGGGATGGAGGTTTTGGCTGCGTTTATTATATAGTCTGTTAGGTTTTTACAATAGGTTTCTGGATCATTATTTTCTATTTCGTTTAAGTTAGCTTCGTTGCAGATATCTTGGAATTGGTCCCAGTTAGCTTTATTGTAATGGAATTTTGGTTCTTGGTTTTCTGTTTGGATTGGTACGTTTGTATTTCCTATGGTTATGTTTATAGGGAAGTGGTCACTACCTAGCGGGACGTCGTGCACTTCCCATTGAGTACTTTGGGCTAGATCTGCGGTGCATATGGTTAGGTCGATAGCCGACATTTTTTGGTTTATCTTATCGTACCTCGTGGGTTGGTTGCTATTAAGGAGTACTAGGTCGTTTGTTTCTATCCATTCGGAGATTAATTTGCCATGATTATCTATTTTATCATCTATGCTCCAAGTAGGATGGTGAGCGTTAAAGTCTCCTAGGAATATAGTAGATTTATCGCTTATTTGGACTTTTTGTTCCGCCCAGTGGTAAATATTTATGATTTAATTTATTTAAGGTTATTTAATGTGATTTTAATGCCGTTGGCTTCTAGGTTTGGCGTGTCTATTTTTATTTCTTCGTAATTTATATCTTCCCTGATAAATATGATTAGTCCTCCTGCGGCTCTTCTTGTTTTCGGTTTAGCTCTGTCAGTTCTAACTGAGTTGTAGTTAGGTAGTGTGAATTTGGATTTTTTTGAGAATTTGGTTTCCTGTATACAAGCAATGTGAGGGCCTTTATTTAGTTTAAATTTAGTTTTTAGTTCATGGCCGTGGGAGGTGAGTCCGTTTGCGTTCCACTGAAAAATATTTAGTCCTTCGAATATTGGGTTCGGTTGATTGGTGATTTAGTTTTTAGTTTTTAGTTTTTATTTTATTCGGTGAGTTCTTTTAGATGGAGGTTAAAGAGGAAGAAGGGAAGATCGGTTAATTTTAGATTGAAAGCTACTTTGTAGAAGGATTTCATGCTAGCTTTTGGTGAGTTTTGACTATGCATGTATGCTAGGAGTAAGGTGAGGTTATTTAGGTTTTGGGTGTTGGCTGGGTGGAGAGTTTGGTTTGTTTTAGTTGGAGTAGCGTCTATTGTTTCCTCAGTAGTGGAGAAATCTTCGTCATCGGTTAGATTAGGTTTAGCTGATTGAGTTTCCATGGGGGAGGCATGTGATGTGGAGGATTGTGAAGGTGTTTGTGGGATGGGTGTAGCTGATGATTTCTTAGTGTTTGTGTTTTGTTGTTGTGCTTGCTTGTGGGAGAGTGTTGTTACCATATGGGCTGTAGGGTGCTTGGATGAGTGTCGTGTTGTGGCGGTCATTTTGAGGTTTGTTTTGCATGCGGGGGTTGATGTTTTGGCTATGTGAGATGTGGGAGGGTTCGTGGTTGGTTGAGTGGCTGCTTGTATGTGTGAGGTGGGTGCGGTTTCTCGGTAGGGGCCCCAGACAGAGCTGTCGGTTATGGGTGTGGTGTTTGTTTGTGGGATGGTGTTTGGGTGTGGTGTAGGGAGGAGTGGTTTAGATGCAGGTGTAGCAAATTTTCGTTTTTGGATTTTAGCCGTGTCTTTGTTTATGTGTTTGTTGGCCTGCTGGGTGAGTGTGTGTCTGTATGGGCATTGGTTTGAGAGTGAAGTGTGTTGGGTGGATTTGCAGTGGATGCACCAGGGTGTGCATGTGCCTTGGCAGTCTGTTTGTGCGCATTTTTTACATTTAGTTTTACGGTATGTGCATTGGGAGGCAGTGTGGTTGTATTTGAGGCACTTTGTACATTGCTTAACCTGCTTTATATAGGGTTTGACTTCTAAGTTGGTGTGGGCTCCGAAGGATATGTGTTTGGGGGCTTCAGGGAATTTAGCGGTCTTTTTGAAGTTGATTATGACAATGGAGGTTGGGACCGTTTTTCCGTTTCTAGTTGAGGTTATTCTACGCGTGCTGGTGATTAGGGGTTGAGGGTTTTGGTCTTGGTTTATGTTAGCTTCTAGAGAGTATAATTGTAAGTCCTCAGTTGTTTCCCTTGGGTTAACCCTAATTACGCCTCGTGTATATTGTTGCCAATTAGGTGTTTGTTTGATTACTGTGACGTGGAATATTTGAGTTATTTTATTTGCTGCGTTGTAAGATTCTCGGTTAGGGAAGATTATCTGGTATCCTTTGTTGGCTTTTTTAATATTGTTGTAATTTATTTTTTCTCTTTTAAACCAAAGTCCTATTTTATCTGCCGAAAGTTCTAGTGAGAGAGTGGTGCCTGAGCCTGCTGAGAAGAAGTAGAGGGCGAAGGTGGTGAGGAAGGCGGCCGGGGAGGGTGTGGGCGATGGAGGTGGAGTGGATGTGTCGAGTTTGCGTTTTTTGGTGTTTTGAGGTGCCTCTTATGACAAGTATTGTCGCATTTTATAGTTCACCATTAGTTGATTTTCTGATGTTATGTCAAAACTAAGAAAACATACAACTTAATGTATAACAACTTCTTGTTTTTTTGTGTCTAGCGATGTTTTTATGTAGATTTTTACACTGTTATTAAGTTGGAGTGACAACAACTCAAGTGTTAAGAGGTACAGATGCATGATATGTTGTGATAAGCAGCAGATTCACATTGAGAGGTAATAGATAACAAGTGGCACAAAGAAGATTGGATGAAGCTAAATGTACAGTAAGAATAGCAAATAGCACACAAGTAATGAAGCCAGATGTACAGTAAGGATAAGGATTGAACAGTTGTGACAAGCTGATTGGATCCTAATTATAATAGTCTATTGCTTGATTAGATCTTCATAGGCAGACGAGATGTAATAACATTGATCTCTGTTTGTGACAATGGATTTCTAAAGCTTCTGAGAGGTTTCTTTTGGTGAAGTCCTGATGTTTGGTTGAGAGGATTTGGACTATGTCAAACTAAATTTGCTGGCAAGGGAATTTTTACTGGTGGTCAGAGAGGGCTGCTGTCTGCTTTGGCTGTTGCGGGTATCTACTGGGTGAGAGGTTTCAACAATGTATGAGTCAGCACTGTCACAATAAACTTTATAGATTACCCTTTTGGGGGTTGCTTGTTGGAGGGGGTCGGGGGCGGACAGGGGGGTTGCGGCCGTTAGAAATCTACATGACCAATTTTAATATGAAGCGTGGTGGGGACTTTGTTTCCTGAGCACAACTAAAAAATAGTTCAATATTTTTCTACAAAACTTGGCAGATATGTCAAACAGATTCTGAAGTGGTGCCTTTTGACACTTAGGAATATTTCAAAATTTGATTTTTCCCTGTTTAGATTGACCTGAAACAGAGGGTGTTGTTTCCAGAGCAGAACTGAATAACAAGTCAACAGTTTACATCCAAACTTGGTACATGTATTAAGCAAAAGTTGAAATGGTGCCTTTTATTATGTAGGAATTTAATTTTTTAAAGTTTGAGTTTGACTTTGTTCGTAGTGGTGTGTTAGTTTCAACAATATCTGTAACACTAACATCGGTAGGTATTCTTTCATGACACTTTGCACACACCAAAACCATGTTGTCAACTGTGCCTTTTGCTATTTAGGGATTTTAAGAATTTACATTTTTTCTGTTTCCAAGGCAACAAGTTTGATTTTAACTCTGTTCATAGTGGTTTGTACCTGACATAGAAATACAATTTTTTAAATCCCAATTCCATGGTATTGTTTTGATAGCTCAATAACTATTGTTTATGGACAGACAGATCAGGTAGATATTCTCTCATCAAGTTGGACTTTAAGTAACAGTCAGATGATTTGTTTGTGGGGGCCAGGGGGATTTGTCCTCTTCTGATGACTCTTGTTATTGCTTGTGAATTGGGTATTGAAATTCACTGTCTAGATCCATAAACAAGATTTCCAGATAAAAGAAGCGTTTTATGTACCAGGGTAGTATCTATTTTGTGTAATGTAAATATCATACGGTAGACATGGGTTCAGTGTGTCTGGAGAAGCAATGTTCCACTGTAATTAATTATCACAGGTTCTACTTCACACTCAAACTTTTTTATGTTTTCAAGGCATCGCTTTCAGATGCTGAAAGTAGTTAAAATGTTATGACGCCTTTGCTGCTTAAGGTGGTGAAATGGGGTCTAACATCACATTAAAGATTATTGCACTTGTGTAGAGGTGTCTGTGTGTGCGGGTGAGTGTGTGTGCTTGTACTAGTACAGACTAATGTTGGTTTTACAGTACTAGCAGACTGAGACACCATGCCACAGTTTAACATGAATAACCCACTCAGAAATGGTATACTGACTCCGAGCCGACTTGTCCTTGTTTAGGTCCCTTAATGCCCAGCCTCAGGCAGGGTACTAACAAGTACTATCTTGAACATCTTTTAGTATGTTGTGGCCATAGATTGAACCACCAACCTTCCATTCTGTGGGCAGACGCACTATCCACTAGACCATAGATATGGTCTTGCTGCCTGCTTAAGACAATATTTACTGTGTACTAGTGCCCTGTACAAAAGCTTTTGTGTCTGTGGTCCTAAAATTGTTTCTTCACATCATTGTCAGTAGCTTTTCATCTAACATTTGGGATGTTAGTACTTGCTACCTTAGGTGACATGATTCAAAGAATTTTAAAAGTCTTAATTTATTGGAACGTGACTTCCATATCTGTTCTTTAAGTTATCTTGTATGTATTTCTTCTTTCAGCAATGGAGAAGTGTCTCCTTAGCCCAGAAACTACAGTCAACAGACTCATCGCCATACTGGAGAAAAATGTTTTTGAAAGTGGAGCCCATATTGATTACTTTGATGATCAGTGATATCAGTAAAACTTTCAGGAGTGAAAAGGACTTTGATGCTTTGCATTTTCATCCAGGTGTATGATTGAGTTCTATAATAAGAGTTTATCAAAGCAAAGGTCTTATCAAGAGTTTGAGATGATTTGACCTGTCATTGGTAGGAAATCTATAAGCAATTAAAGTCAGTATGGATTGATGTCTTAATTCATGTTTGACCAATGAGTGACATGAATCAGGTGATTGTTTGATTTATGCCCATAACTGTGTCACCACAAACTCGGCTGCCAATCAACCATCAACAGAGAGTGGCATCAAACAGTTCAGAGGACGTGTCAATCAAGGTAAAAGAACTACAACTGTCAGACTGTAATGAACAGGAACAAATATATCCTGTGCAGCTGTTTCAAATGAAATGTTTTGTAACTGCCAGATTCAAACATTACTTCACTGAGAAAGGGAAGACAAAGTTTGAAAAATGCAAGTTAGAAATGAAACCCGAAGACATGAAATATGTGGAACACAGGCGAGGGAAAAACACCGAACAGGTGAGCAAACCTGCATGTTTGCTGTTTCATACATTGCTGTTTCATTCCTTCATTTGTCTTGAAGGGTGGCTTGGATGATGAATATGCCTGAACATTGCTAAAACGTCCTGTGCATGATGATATAGGTGAGAAGAAAAGGAATTCCCTCGACTGTAATTGGGATTCCCCGACATTCCGTTGAAGGTTGTCTGCTTTGGTGGGCATGGCTTCATTTTTTATATTCATTGGGATGTGAATGCAATAACACGTGACCAATTTAGCTATTCAGAATGCAGGAATTACAATGAACACAACAAATGTGATTTGTAAACAGGGTAATGTTATTTCTACAACATTCTATAGAGATTTGATATTTATCCACAATTTTGTGAAGTAAGACCCACTTAATAATCATCATTCATCTAAAATATCAATAATCAGACTATGTGTGGTTAACTTTACAAATTTCAGCTGTTGATATATATACATGCAAATAGTAACCATCATTTATATGTACTGTGTTTTCACAACAGATGAGGATCACACTTTTGCAAACAATAATACTGTAAATACTGTGTTGTAGGTGCATGAACAGTTCTTCAATAATACACAAGCAATCAACACCATAAAACTGAGGTCTTTGTGAAACTGAAAGAAGGTTGAGGCTCCCTTGTACATGTTTGTTTGTTTGTTTGTTTGTTTGTTTGTTAGAGTTAGAGGGATGGTTAAGAGTACAAGTTTAAGTAATAAGGTTGAATAGGTTTACATAGGTAGGGAAGGGAGAAAATTCCGTAGGTTATAGATAAGAGAAAGATTTTGCCCCTGTTGTTTTTTTTCTGTTAAATAAACTTTAAATCCAGCTTCTTTCTTTGTGTTTTGTTTATAATTAGAATTGGTAACCCGGTCAGGAGCCTCCTAGAACATAGAGACAAAAGAATACTGCACAGGGAAAAGAGTACACAACGCAAAGCACCGCAGTATAACATCTGACCCTTTGTCAACTATCTCTATAGTTCTACTGTCACTGGGCGCCTTTTACAGGCGTTAGAGGGCGCCTATTACAGATTTGATGCCGAGACCAGGATCGGGTTATATTGTTTTCAATTTCTAGTTATAGTCTGCTTCTGAAAACTAAATTAAAATTCAAGTGAAAATATGATTGAAGGTTTAGGTTTAAATTGGTCAGTTTTGTCTGAGACTGATTATGATCATTTTCTTGGTAGTGTCGGTGTTAATCCCAAGGAACTACTTATCGATTTGACAAGTGAGTTTCCACCACCTCGGCAAAATATGTATTCTACATCTACACCTTACAAACCCCTACCTCTTGTAGGAGATGCTGTCGGTTTAAGGAGTGGACAGGCTTGCAGGGATACATATTTGGGGTCAGACTATAATGCACCTGCACATTGGAACGCTGATTATCGGTGGTTGGGTCACTCTTTACCAGACGGCATCATGACGGGTGGCCGTTCTGTTCATTTCAGGACACCAGAAATACCACAGGAAAGGTCAAGGGTTGATTTTCAGAGTCTCAGCGGTTTTGATAGTGTAAGGCCATTAAATACAGCAGGCACTGTTTTGTCAGAATTTGAGAAGACTAGGGTTTCTCATCGGGAAGTTAGACCTGACAAATTTGAAGGGACGTCATGTGATTGGCAAGATTATATTGTTCATTTTGAACAAGTTGCTTCATGGAATGGGTGGACCAAGTATGAAAAGGCTCAACAACTTAGTATGTGTTTGAGAGGTGCAGCACAAAAACTTTTGAGTAATCTTACGTTAGGACAACTCAATAGTTATCAGGCGGTCAAAAGTGCATTGAGTCAGCGTTTCAACCCAGTAGAACGTAATGTAGCCTATAGAAGTGAATTCCGAAATCGTCGACAAGGTTATGACGAAACCGTTTCGGATTATGGGTATCAGCTCCGTAGATTAGCAAATTTAGCTTACCCTACCAGCACTTATTCATCACTAGAGGTACATTTAATTGATCAGTTCTTAACTGGCCTGCATAGCTTTGACATGAGGAAACATGTCACATTTGCACATCCCCAAACACTTGAAAATGCTATTTCATACGCCATGGAGTTTGAAGCTGTCGATGGTAGCAGGAAAAAGAAACCTGAAACTTTAGACAGGGTAGCAGGAATTTATCAAACTGTTCAACCAGTTGGTAGTACTGGGGTGACACTTGAGGCAGTTGCCAAGTTGATAGATGATCGTCTGGAAAGTTTCAAACGTAGCTTACGTAGTGTTAGGCCCAATAGCTGCTATGTCTGCAATCAACCAGGTCATTTTCATGATAGGTGTCCTTACTTATCAAAGCTGGGTTTACCGGATCAGTCTGTTACTAATAAACCTGAATCGGGAAACTAGATGAGGCTGAGATCGAGGCCGGGATTTCAGCCAATGTTGAGCAGATGGGTAGGCCATGTGAAGATGTAGTTCCGGTAAAGTTATCTTCACCTGATGTGAAAGCCAAACCTATTTTAACTGTTGATGTTGGAGTCCAAGTAGATTTACCTAAGTTGGTAGGGAATAGTGTAGATCCCTTGGTGAACCAATCTTCACTCCATGGTTTTGGGTTGGGGGAGAGGTTATCTTTGTCAGCATCAGGTGTAGGGAAACCGATGAGGTCATCTTCGTCAACACTGACTGGTATGTCTAGTCCACGGGAGAAAATTGTTTTGCGTTCTTTGAAGCCTCAGAAATGTTTGTATATAGATGTTCTGATGAAAGGGGTTACCTCAAGACTGTTGTTGGATACTGGGTCTCCAGTGTCGATTATCTCACAAGATGATGTCCTTAAACTGGGTTTACAGGATGATAAGCTGAAGGAAGTTCATAAAGATTTCTTACGGCCAACGGTACACCTATAGTTGTTCATGGTTCTGCTTGTTTTGTGTTGGAAACGTGCAGCTTCAACAAGAGTTTGTGGTTGCAGATTTGGGTACCATGGGTAGTATTCTTGGCATGGATTTCCTGGAGGATTATGATGGTGAGGTATATGTGAGACGAAAGACACTGTCTACATCTAGAGGTAGGCTCAAATTGTACAATTTGAACACAAGCAATTGTGCACGGGTCAGAATTATTGATAAGGTTATTGTTCCCGAGAATTCTGAGAAATTAATCAAATGTACTGTTGACGGTTCATTTGGTGCTGATACGGGTTTGGTTCAGCCAAACAATTATTGGAGAAACAAGGGAATATTTGTGGCTAGGAGTCTAGTCCAACCTGACAAGGATGTAGTAGTCATTTCAGTGCTGAATATGAATAGCAAGAGGGTAACCATAGATAGCTCATCAGTAATGGGCACAGTGGGCATGGTAGAACAGGTGGTTGCTTGTGAGGATGTTGTTACCGCTAATGCTGAAAGCCAGGGCTTACCAAGTCACTTGCAGTCACTTGTTGATCGCTGTTCCACTGATCTTTCAGAAAGCCAAAAACTGTCTGTTTTTTATTTAGTGGGAGAGTTTCAGAATGTTTTCGTTGGTGAAGATGGTTTGTTAGGGCAGACGGATGAGTTTACGCATACCATCAATACTGGTGGGGCAACCCCTATCAAATTACCTGCTAGGAGGGTTCCTTTAACTAAGAAACAATTAGTAGAGGAGGAAGTTGACAAGATGTTGCAGCAGAACATTATAGAGCCTAGTAGTAGTCCTTGGTCTGCTCCCGTTTGTCTAGTAACCAAGAAAGATGGATCCTGCAGGTTCTGTATTGATTTTAGGAAATTGAATGACGTCACTTTATGAGATGCCTATCCTCTGCTCTGAATAGATGAAACACTTGAAATGTTAGGTGGTTGTCATTGGTTTAGTACCCTTGAATTAGCTAGCGGATATTGGCAAGTCAAAATGGATCTGAAAGATAAGCATAAAACTGCTTTCGCTACTCATGTTGGACTCCATCAGTTCAATGTCATGCCGTTTGGGATCACTAACACTTCAACTACTTTCGAGAGATTGATAAAATTAAAGTTGAAAAAGTGTCTGTGTTACCTGGACGATGTCATCGTTTTGGGGTCAGATTTTCAGTCTGCTTTAAACAATCTTAAGTTAGCTTTAATTCAGTTGCGACAGGCAAATTTGAAACTCAAACCTAAAAAGTGTACGCTCATTCAACCTGAAGTTGCTTTTCTAGGACACATAGTCTCAGCCAATGGTCTTAGATGTAGTCCAGAAAAGGTAGAAGCTGTCGAAAACTGGCCTAGACTGGAAACCTGGTCAGATATTCACAGTTTCTTAGGGCTTGTAGGTTACTATAGGCAGTTTGTACCAAACTTCTCGGATATCGCTTCTCCTATGGTGCAGCTCACTCGAAAGGGTATACCATTTCAATGGACTAAGGATTGTGAGAAGGCGTTTGATCAGTTAAAGCAGTGTCTCATAACTGCTCCAGTACTTGCTTTTCCTCAAGATAAAGGATTATATGTGCTTGATACGGATGCTAGCGGATTTGGTATAGGTGCAGTATTGTCTCAGGTGCAGGAATGATATGAAAAAGTTGTTTCGTATGCAAGTCATACTCTGGGACAGTCACAACGCAACTATTGCACCACCAAACGTGAGCTTCTGGCAGTGGTAACATTCCTTAAGCACTTTAGACACTTTCTATATGGCAGAAAGTTTGTTTTGCGCACTGATCATGCTCCTTTGATTTGGCTGCAAAACTTCAAGGATCCAGAAGGAATATTAGCAAGGTGGCTTATAGTTGTAGAAAACTATGATTTTGAGATCCAGTATAGGCCTGGTAGAAAGCATCAGAATGCGGATGCAATTTCATGTAGGTCATAGCGAAAGTGTACTTTTGAGAAGTGTCTTGATTGTCATTCTTCAGATTTGGCTTGTAGTCAGCATGATAGTCAGTTGGTCGTATCAATAGAGCCTATTGATGATCTGCAAGTTGCAGAAAGCCGTCTTCAGTCACCTGAACCTGTCAGTCCGGTAGAAGTAGAGGAGAGGAATGTTATTCTACTGATTCGGAGGAAGATCGGAATTCTACGGATGTAGGCTCTGATAGTTCTGGAGTAGGCTGTACACTATTCAGTGACTCTGCAGCTTGTGGTGGTGTGGGTAACTGGTTACCAGTGTGGACTCAGGTTGAGTTGCTCAATTGGCAGTTAGCTGACATTGGCATAGGTCCGGTATTGAAGTTGTTGTCAGTTGATAGTGGGCAACCTGAGAAATCAGAAATCATAGATTGGAGTTCAGATGCAAAGATGCTATGGAGACAATGGCAAGGTCTTAGGCTGGAGAATAGATTGTTGAACCGCAAGGTAGAATCTGATATTTTTGGCTCTCGTTTACAGTTGGTAGCACCAACAGCTGTATGTACATCAATTCTTGAATATTTGCATTATCCACGTACAGCTGGCCACTTCGGTCGAGATAAAACTATGACATCTATCAAAACCAGATTTTATTGGCCAGGAATGTCTAAGGACATTAAAGGATGGTTAAAATCTTGTGACTTGTGTGCACGCTGTAAACCATGCCAGGAGAAACCATGCCTTCTTCCCCCGGAGAGACCCTCTTTCAGGGTCTAGAAGAGCAGACTGGGAGCAGGCTGCCCAAGCTAGATCTGCACAGCCCAAACGACGCCTGATCCATGAGGCTCAGGAGGAAGAAGACCAAGAAACCTTGGCGAACTTCTCAAGTGATTGAGAAGTTCACATTGTCGCATTTTCTCATTTTGTTGATATTGTTTGGCCTAAATCCTTATTTATTTATTTTTTGTTATTCATTTTTGATATACTCAACAGATTTTTCTATATATTTACACTTGTTAATTTACTTAGATTTGTTTTGTTTTTGTATTTTGAAGGGGGCAAAAAGGGTAACTTTTTTACTT